CTTTGTTGGATGGATGGTTCTCAGCCACGTCCTACCCTACCCACCCAAAGTATTCCTTGATCACGCTAGTGGCGGCAAGTTCATGGTTTGCTTCAAGCTCTGCATCGCTGTCATTGTCTTTGCTTGCCCATGCGCGCTCGGTCTTGCAACACCCACCGCTGTCATGGTCGGTACTGGTGTTGGAGCTGAGAATGGCATTCTCGTCAAAGGTGGTGCCGCTCTCGAGACTGCCACAAAGATCAACCATGTCGTCTTCGACAAGACTGGCACACTCACTGTTGGCAAGATGAGTGTATCTCAGGCGGACATTCAGGGAGGCTGGGGTACTGCTGATAAGAAGAACCTTTGGTGGACACTCATTGGACTTGCGGAAATGGGCTCAGAGCATCCTATTGCTAAGGCTATCGTTCTCTCCGCCAAGGAACATCTCCGCCTCGGACCCGATGGTAACCTGGATGGCTCAGTCGGAGACTTTGAAGCTGTCACCGGTAAGGGTATCATCGCAACGGTCGAAGCAGCCCTCTCTCGCGAGCGCACCCGCTACAAGGTCCTCATCGGCAACACGGCTTTCCTCACTTCCGAAGGTGTTAACGTGCCTGACTTCGTAGAAGAGCCGCTCACACCTGCTGCAAACTCCAGACCTCGAGGTGGACCCCAAAACCGATCCGCTGGTATCACCACGATTCACACCGCCATCGGCAACACCTACACGGGTACATTGAGCATGTCCGACACCATCAAGCCTTCAGCTCGCGCTGCAATTCTTGCCCTTTCTCGTCTGGGCATAACATCCTCGATTGTTACTGGTGATACCTCTGCTTCCGCCCTTGTCGTCGCAGCAGCAGTTGGTATCGATCCCGCAGATGTTCACGCTTCGTCTACCCCCGCCGACAAGAAAGCTATCATCGAAGACCTCCAGTCGCGTGGCCAAGTTATCGGTATGGTCGGTGACGGCATCAACGACTCCCCAGCGCTCGCCTCGGCCGACATTGGTATTGCTCTCTCTACTGGTACAGACGTCGCCATGGAAGCTGCCTCTATCGTCCTCATGACCAACACCGATCTCCTCTCTATCCCGGCCTCACTAGTCCTCAGCCGTGCCATCTTCTTCCGCATCAAGCTTAACCTGGCATGGGCGTGCATGTACAACTTTATCGGTCTTCCTTTCGCAATGGGTTTCTTCCTACCATGGGGTCTCTCGTTACATCCCATGGCTGCTGGTGCCGCAATGGCATGCTCATCCGTCAGCGTTGTCATGAGCTCTCTGCATCTCAAGTTCTGGCACAGACCCAGCTGGATGAAGGTCAGCGTCCTTGATCCTGGTGCGCCGATCGATGAGAAGGAAGCGGAGATGGAGAAGATGGGCCACAAGGGCGTCTTTTCTACTTTCAAGGATTGGGTCAGTGATGCGTGGGCCGCGAGGAGGCGGAACAAGGAGGAGACAAGTTATATGCCTTTGAGGGATATGGAGCAGCAGTAATCTCGTTCACGCGTATTTGAGCAGATGTTGTTAGTATTGGCGTAGCGTTTAGGATACCACCTTTCCTTGGTTCTTTCCCTTGTCTGTATGTCGTTGCATTTCTGTTGTTCCTAATTGGGAGTCCCTGTATATAGCTCTTGACTCCCGATACAGTTGTTCCAATCTCGTATGAATCCAATCCGATCTACGCTACAACAACCTTTATGTCATGTGAAGATCATATATGTTAATTCAATGGCATTACTCGTCAAACTAGCCAACATATAGAAAATCGTGATGCGATAGCCCAGATACTTACCTGAAGCAGCCAAACGTCGGCAGCTTGCCGTGCGCGTGACGAAGTCGCGAAAGCGCGGCGGGCCAGGGTCCACCAATTGGCGTCACAAAGATAAGGCCAAGATGAACAACACAACACCGCAACCGCCTTCCCACTAGAATCCGCCTTATTCGCCCTTGCTCGCTTCGTGGAGCTTACTCGGAACACACATGCGACCGTGAATAGCACCGAATCCCACGTCTCACATCCACCCGCCAGAAACGTCAAACGAGGCCGCTGCCGCCGTTCACCATGGGCAGGAACCGAGCCGTGTCGAATGCGTCGACGCGGAGCAGCGAGCCGCCGTTACAAGTAGGTATGGGCACTTTTTGAGCTTGGCAGGACTGTGCTGAGTAGACGCAGGAGCTGGGGAGTATGTATGATTACCTGGCCAAGGTTGTGCTGTTGGGACCCAGCGGCGCTGGCAAGTAAGTTCGCGATAAGAGCGAAGACATTGTACCAAAACACCGAATAACCAAGAGACAACTATAGATCCTGCCTCCTCCACCGCTTCGTAAAATCCGAATGTAAATCTTACCCCCATCTCCTCTCCTCTCTCCTCCCCTCCCCACCGCCATCAACACCCCCCACTAACACCCTCTTCCTCACTCACAGGGCGCGTCCTCTCCAGCCAAACAATCGGCGTAGAATTCTCCTCCAAAATCGTGCACATCGCCGACCGCCGCCAACGCTCGCCCTCGTCCCCCTCGTCGCGCAAACGGATAAAACTCCAGTTATGGGACACAGCAGGCACAGAGCGCTTCCGCTCCGTCTCACGGTCCTACTACCGCGGCGCCGCAGGCGCTATCCTCGTATACGACGTGAGCAGCTGGCGCAGCTTCGAGCAGCTGAAGACGTTTTTGGATGATGCGAGGGCGTTGGCGGGACCGGATATCACGATTATACTGGCGGGGAATAAGGCGGATGTTGAGGATGGGGGTGTACCGATAGGCATGAGTAGTGGAGGAGGGGGAGGAGGGGGATATAGCAGTTATGCCAGCACGCCCTCGTCGGAATCTGGTCTCCCACCACCCACGCCCTCCTCGCAAGCAAGTCGCACGCCTAGTCTCAACGCCAATCTCCACGCGAGCTACACCGTTGCGCCTGACGGCCGCGAAGTCCCCGCCGAAACCGCCTCTCGCTGGGCTGGCCAGAACGGTATCCCAGTTGCCGTCGAAGTCTCCGCGTTGAACGGAGAGAACGTGGAAGAGCTGTTTACTAGACTGGCGCGCATGATTCTCACCAAGATTGAATTGGGCGAGATCGATCCTGATGATCCGGCCAGTGGGATCCAATACGGCGATTTGGGCTGGGATGATGGGGGCGGGAGTGTGAGGAGTGGGTTTGGGGACGAGGGGGTTAGGTTGAGGAGGAGAGGGGGGAAGAAAGCTGGTGGTGCGTTGGGGGAGTGGGAGGATGTTTTTAGGTTGGGTGGGGGTGGGGGGAGGAGGAGAGGGGGGTGTTGTTGATATTGGAGGGGATGGTAATAGGTTTCTTGGACGGATGGTAGCATGTGGTTTTTCGGATTGTATATGCGGCATACCCCCGGTGTTTCTTTCATGGATATATAGATAGATTGACGATGTAATGTGGATTAGAGGGCCTTTGGGCACATACGAACGAGACAAATTCCTTCAATTCTGACAGCTGCACATAATTACACCTACAAAGTGTTTGGGAATTGAAATCCTTCAAGATTGTCATAGAACTACTTGACGGCATCTTGTTACCCTGCTTTGCATCGACATTCCACCGTCATAGATAATCTCTAACTTCCTTGTCTGCTTGGCTTCATATCATCGATCGACGCAACTCATACGCAGTATATTTCTTCATCCGATGAGTTGTCAATAACCCACATCACTGATGCAGCATCACGTCCAGTCTACCTCGCGTTCGCGCGCTACTCGGGAGCTACATGACGATCACATGTCACCCACGACGTCGGAATTACATCGGGACATTTTTCTCACCCACCTGCATCAACCTTATCAAAGTTCTCACCTCGGGGCAATAGTCGGACGGGCTCGATGTGCAGATTTGGAAGTCAACGGAATTCCGTACCAGACTGAACAACGCGTTATTCGAACTAAAACTTTTTAGATGGTTGATTTAGGTTGGTTGATCCGTAGAGTACCGCGGCGCGGAGGTTTTGTGGTGTGGCCAGATGCGGCGACGTGAAGCCTAGCGCGATCTTCTCGCGCATGCGCGGATCTAAACGTCTGGCGTGTCGTCATCATGGAAAAGGATAATGCATGCGCACGCGATCATGCTGTAAGCCACTCCCCACGCCCATCCGAACTCGATCCAGCAAAATACCGACAGCATCCATCAATACAGATTCCTGCACTCCGAAGAATTCCCACAGTATGTCCCATATCTTGCATGCTGACGCGCTAGGGAAACTCCTGGATCCGCCGTAACGCGTCCGAAACCTCGGCATCTCTCATGTCACAAATTCACATTTGCCACAGTCATGGATGGCACCGGCGGGCGGGCTAGCACTCGGGGGTCGCGTGCCCTTCCGAGGGTGGACGCCCCAGTGCCCTGGCAGTAGCGTGTTAGCATGGGCTTTGTGCGTCACTGGCATGTTCTTCAGATTTCCATGATATAGGCGTGCGTGCGGCTCCGTTTCTGATATAGACTTTCCTCCTCAATTTACACCCCATTCTTACGGCCTGTTCGTTTCTTTACTAGATTTACGACCTCGATTGAAGATTGTCTTTTACGGTTTTTGACAATCATACTGTCGTTCTCACGCGCGTTTAGATCTCTTACCCGCGCTCTCCCCTCGCGACTTCCGTTCGGGACAGCGAACCCGCTTGCGATTGCCGATATGTCGTGGCTCCATCGATTGAATCCCACGCCGGGCTTCCCGCCGCATACGGGACCGTACAAGGTCGGCTCTGTGGATGTAGAGATACCCACAAGCGACCTGGACAGCCCGAGCGCGGATGCGCCTCCTGCGGATCTACCAACTGTCGCTTTCCGCATCTTCTACCCGTGTAAACAGGACAGCAATGAGAAGGCTGTGAGATGGATACCGAGCCCGCAGAGGGAATACATTAGTGCTTATGCGAGGTTTCTGGGGGCAAACAGCGCGTTTGCGAGTGTTTTCTCGTGAGTACTGTGAGATGGCATTTTGGCTGAGTACGATGCTGACAGTTGTCTAGATTGATGCCACAACTACTCTATTACATTTCTATGCCTGTACACCAAAACGCCGAACTCCTCGCTCCCCCACCGAAGTCCGATCGATGGCCCGTTATGATGTTTTCCCACGGACTGGGAGGCACACGGAACGCATACTCGCACATCTGCGGGTCGCTTGCAAGTCATGGAATCGTAGTGGTAGCGGCAGACCATCGCGATGGCAGTTCGCCTCTCGCCATCCACCACACGCCGGAGGAGAAGCAGAAGACGAAGCGCGTCGACTACCGGTCCATTGCGCATAAGGCGAGCACAGAAGTATACGAAGCACGAGACGAGCAACTGAAGATACGGCTATGGGAGTTGGGCATGATGCACGACGCGGTCTTGAAAATCGACGAAGGACGTAAACTCAAGATCGTAGCCCAAGACCAACCCAAGGGAAAGAACCTACTCAGCATGTTCTCCAACATCCTCAACATCCACGAGCCCGGCTCCATCAGCTACGCAGGCCACTCCTTCGGCGCATGCACAATGGTGCAATTCGTAAAATCCGTCTACCACCGCCCTTCCACCCCAACCCCAGGCTACAAACCCCTCTACACCCCCTCCTCAGACTCCAGCCTAGTCCAACAAATCACACCCAGCAACTCCGTCACCCTCCTCGACCTCTGGACCCTCCCCATCCAAAGCCCCGCCACAAGCTGGCTCCGCTCCAAACCCATGCCCTGCTACGATGCCCCCTCTGGCGGCAAGAACCTGCTAGCCATCGCCTCCGAAGGCTTCTACAACTGGTCCTCCAACTTCCGCGAAACGAAATCCATCTTATCTCCTCCTTCTCCCCAATCTTCGAAACACACAAACCAACCTGGTCCCCACATCTTCTACCCCATCGCCTCAGCGCACCTCTCCCAATCCGATTTCGGCGTCCTGTTCCCCTGGGTCACAACCAAGGTTTTCGGCGCAAAGGAACCTGAACGCGTACTGAGACTCAACACACGCGCGATACTGCAGATGCTAAGGGAGAACGGAGCGAGGGTTGCGAATACGAGTGCGGCGGATTTGGAATTGGAGGATGAGCCCGGCCCGGCGAAGGGCTGGAATTTGGTTAATGATACTACGATTTTGAGTAGGACGAAGGATAGTGTGAGGGGGTGGGTTAATATTAGTGTGGATGGGGAGGAGAGGAGGGGGGAGGAGAAGGTTATGAGCCCGTTGGAGAAGGTGGGGAGTGCTGGGAAGGGGCCCGGGGATGCTGTGGTTGAGGGGGAGGCGCTGGGGCAGGTTGTTGAGGGGAAGGCTTGAGGGGGGATGGATGGATTCATGATTGCGATTGTGAATGGAGGGATGGCGTTTGGCATAGCGTTTTTGTTTTTGACTTTGGAGTAGACATACCCGGGTATATAGATATGAGTTTGTAAATGATGATACGTTTCTCAAACGGTCTACTTCCTGACGGTATGCGTGGTTCGAGATGGAACTTATCAACTCAGCATCAACTGTAACATAATGCTATAATATGCCAGAAATGTGTCGGTATAACTGCCATGTTCAATCTTGCGTCAAATACTTTGTCCTGTTCCACTTGAACCTTACTCTATGTAGAGGCCAATATGTAAGTTATCCAAACTACTGTGACTCACTCTTTATATCAAATCATATGTGCATTGCATAGCCTCTGGCCACGCATCACTATAACTCCAACATGCATCAGTTGTATGCAAGAACGACTGAAATTCTATAAGAACTACTTGATCAAGGTAAGAATATCGCTTTCATTCCTCGTATATGCATGCTATAGGCAGTAGTGACTTTAACGTGCATTGTCTTGTGACTTTTGTCCAACGCAAATTCAAAGAAATACATACACCCATGTTGATGGAGATAACGCGTGAGCCAATCAAGGCGCGTCGATAATGAGAGACTAGCGCGGCATCCGCGACATCGAGCACTCGCGGTCAACCATCGAATACTATATAAACCTCACCCATTTCCTCCCATCCATCTTCAGCATCAATTCAACCTTTGATGCCAATTACATAGTTTTAATTATCACGGTTGCAGCTGTCTCAAAGACATATCGCAGCTTCTAGTAGGGTCTAGAAGAAGACTCAGAATTACCTGCACGCGTGCTTCCACAAGGCCGCAGCGGATTGGCACCGGAGGTCTATTACACTCCACGTCATCTACCAGTCCCTTGATATCCATATTCACTGCTCCTCTCTTTTACCCCGCACTTCTGTTGTTGCAGCCTAGAGGTAGCGCGGCACGTATATGGCAAACGCCAGCTGGCGCCTGACATTGTAAACAAACACACGACCACCCCACCTCGCAGAATATCAACTGCAACACCATGGCAGCGACCAAGAACGAAGTCCCCAAGTCCTCAGCATGGCTGCTGGAGAAAGCCCAGAATGCTGCGAAGGCGTCTGGTACCGGACCAGAAGCCGTCGCGAGGATCCTACAAAAGACGAAGGAGCAGAAGGAAGCCAACAACGAGGAGCACAAGAGGAGGATGAGTCTTCTCAGCAAGAAAATGACGGAGCTGGGAGCGAAGCATCAAATGAACCCGTTCAAGAATGCGGAGCAACCTGTCGCGGCGGACACCATCGCCGTCACGCCCAAGATCATCAAGCCAGCGCAGCAGGGTTTAAAGCGTAAGCTTCCAACATCTCCCGGTGCGAAGCCCGTCGATCCGCCCGCTAAGAAAGCGAAGGTTCAAGACAGTCTCCAGCCTCGAGTTCAAGACAAGTCCAAGGCGAAGGAAGCCGTCTCCCAGAAGCCAAAAGACGACACCTCTAATAAAGCAAAAGAGGGTGCTACAGAGCCGAGCAAGTCGAAGGTCCAAGTCCAGATTCAAAAGAAGCCGCAGTCGAACGCCGACACGCATAAAAAGCTAAAGGTTAATACAAAGGAGCTGGGCAAGGCGCCGTCTAAGTCTGCGACTCCGACCCCGACTCAGAAGAAGCCACAGGAGAAGGAGACGAATGAGCAGATCGATGTTCAGAGCTTGTGGAAGATGAGGAAGCAGAGGGAGCCTCTGAAAGGCGAGAAGAAGGACCCTCTTGAGGACGAGCCAAAGAGTGCGACGTTTGCAGAATCGTCGACTGCAGGCGCTTCACGGGAGCGGACGGCTGCTACAACTTCAAGGGCTGCAACGCCAGCAACACCGGCAACGCCAACAAACAACGCAGACTCGGAAATCGTGCCGTCAAACGACCTCTTTGTCTCAGACGATCCGGAAGACAAGTATCCTATTGCAAAGTCCCTCCCAGCATGGTACACCTCCATCACCATCAAAGACCCGCGCATGGAAGCCATGACCAAAAAACGTCCCCTCGCCCTCGTTACCCTCCAATCTCTCAAAGCCGCCCTAACCGACAGCGAGAAGCCCGGAAAAACCCCCTCAGAACTCGAAGCCCTCTACGACAAAATCCGCGACCTAATCCACAAAGCCGAAATCGACCTACAAGTCAACACCGTCCTCCTCCGCAAAGCCATGACCCTAAGCCCGGACTACGGTCTACCCCGCATCTTCAAACCAGGCACAAAGTTCCCATGGGATCTAAAGGCGGACGCGTATCAGTTGTATAAGAGATGGTATAAGAACGATTTGAATCAGGATATACTGAGGGGAATTGTGCCGCATAAAGGAGATAATAGGACGAGTGATCGTCTGGATGATACGTATCGTGCCAAGTTTCCTACGACGGCGAAGTATTATGGGGAGGGCGAGTTGGTGCTCGGGCAGTGGTGGCCTACGCAGCTTTGTACTGTGCGCGATGGGGCGCATGGATCTGCCCAAGGGGGGATTTACGGGGAGCGCGATAAAGGCGCTTACTCCATCGTTCTCTCCGGTGGGAACCCGTACCACGATGTCGATAACGGGGATACGATTGAGTACTCTGGCACCGAAGGCCGCAACGCCACGCCTACGGAGAATACCGCTCATTTGATCAAATCCGCCGAGTTACTCAACCCCATTCGCGTCATTCGGTCTGCTCAGCTCAACAAGAAGAATCCGTACCGCCCGGAACTGGGGCTCAGGTACGATGGGCTTTACATAGTCAGGGGGTATACGTGCGTGGATAGGGAGAAGGCTATGTATAGGTTTAGGCTGGAGAGGTGTGAGGGGCAGGAGGGGATTCGCTGGCAGGGGAAGGGGAAGCGGCCGACGGAGTATGAGTGTAGGGAGTTTAGGCGGTTGAAGGATAAGGGTGTTGGTGTTGGTTGGTAGGATGAGGATGGTGGTAGGGCGGAATGGAGGGGAATGTCGTGTTGTGACACCTTCATGGCAGAAGCTGGACTATTTGGGAGCGTGTCTAACGGATCACTTGTCACTGCGACAGACACGAAGTTTGAAAGGATGTGTGGATGGATGACATGGCGGTGGTGGAGGCGGATATACCGTTGCCTTCTTTCCCTTTCTTTCCTTTGTCTCTCACTCCAGGTGTTTCTCAGGATACCCGTTGTTCACTCTTCAAAAAGAGAGGAGAGCAAACTAGTTAGTCGACGACAGATACGTCTGTTGCACAACGACAGCACATGTAGTTTCCTTGGGGTGTATATAAAAAATAGCAAGTGTTTCTGTATTAGCTGGAGAACATAAAAGTGCGCGCACGTAGCAAAGCGACGCAAAAGCTTGACATGCCATAACAATCACATCTTACAGTTGTTCTTTCCAGATACCCATTGCGTGATTTCGGAATTGTGTCCTGGTTGGACATCAGTCTGGAGTATACATCATACTTCCAGTAATGTAATTACGAAATTTGATATATTGTATACCTTCAGCATACTGTATCAGCTCACAGAGAAACGAATTCATCCATGTATTGAACTCGCCATCACCCGCATGAACAGAGCAAGGAAGAAGAGTCAGGGAAACATGCCGCATTACATTGCACAGCCATATCCCCATCATAGACTACATGTCCATCTCTACAGACACACATATCCGTGTAACCCAACACCAAAATATCCGATACAGTACAAAAACCAACCACTCTACTCATCATCACTCTCCTCCTCCTCATCATCCATCTCCAAATCCTCATCGCTCAACCCCTCGAGGTCAACCTCCTCTTCCTCCTCCTCATCCTCATCCGCCGCAAACTCCTCTCCACCCTTCTTATCATACTTCTCCCCCTCCTTCCTCTTCCTATCCTCCGTCTTCCTAGCCTCCTCGAGCAACTTCGCCTTCTGCTCCCTGCTCTTACGCTGACCCGCCACATACGCGCCGAGCGGACTCTTATCCCACTCTACATCCTTCAAGAACCCATCGACACCCGCACGGTTATTCGGTGCAAACTCAACCTTATTCCTCTTCTCCTCGACCCACCGGGAATTAGCCTCTAGTTTCTGGACGAGCAGCGCGATGAGCGAGGAGACTTTGGTGTTTTTGTTTCCAGAGCTCTTCTTCGTCATGGCTTTGACCCAGCGCTTTAGCATGACGATGACGGGGAGGGCGAGCTCAGGGAACGCGATGTTTTTTGTCCAGAGGATGAAGAATTCGGAGAGGAGTTCGGCGACTTGCTCGCCGATGCCGTCTTGGTAGATGCGTGTGCGGAGGAAGGCTTTGGTTGCGCGGATGCTGATGCTGAAGTCGAGCGCTTTGAGGGTGCTGGGCTTGGGGGGTTTCTTCATCTCAGCCGAGTTGAGGACTTCGACTAGGGCGGGCGCGAGCGGGATGTAGGTGGAGGTTGCTTGGGCGATGCGGAGCAGCGAGCGGATGAGTTGGAAGCGCAGGGGGAAGTATTGCGATGTTGGAATTAGGCGCATGGCTCCGAGGGTGACTTGGACGACGGGGTAGATGAGGGGGCGGAGTGATGAGGGTTTGCCGGACTCTGCTTCGCGGAGGGTTTCGCAGTGCATAGAGATGACTCTTGACCAGAAGTCGAGCGAGTGAACGTACTGCCAGTTGTAGACTGTCTTGTAAGAGTCTTTTGTCTTGTTGGTGATGCTTGTGCGTAGGTGTATCGCGAGCTGGCGGATGAAGCCGAAGCCTGTGGTGTAGCCAACAGTGGGATCGATGCCCCAGAGCTCGGCTGCGGTGTTCTTCATCAGGTTGATACCCTGGATGGTGTGGATTGTGGTATTCCTCGCGCTCTTGACCAGGCCCTGGTATACCTGCTTCAGGACCGCCTCGCGGATGCTTGGGTCCGCAATGACTACTAGTCGTCGCAGAACCAAGAAAGCCGACACTCTTGTTCCGTCGTTGTTGGCACTATCCGACCAGACTGATGCGACAGAGCGGACGACCTCGCGCACGACCTTCTTGAAGGACAGAATGTATGGGAGCATGTGGGAGAGCGAATCCAGGGTCATCTGGAGGGTCTTCGCATCGGACAGGTTCTCAAGGAGGTGATGTATCGAGACGGTATGCGACTTGAGGAGGGGAGTAAGTGTGCGGAACTTCTTCGAGTCGGTAGCAACGCGACTGGTATGGTCAGTGAATATCCTGAAGAAGTAGAGTGATTACTTACATCCTGCCTCCAGCGCTCTCCTTGACGGGCAAGTGATGTTGGAGGACCTTGGGTACTAGGTGAAGAGTGGTTACTTGAACTTGATGGTACACTACATGCTGTTAGTCTTTATCTCATCGTAGAAGTCGATCGACATACCATCTGGGTCGGTTATGGAGTACTTGTATGATTTAGTAGCCTCCGAGTCGTTCATGTGTGATGCAGCGCGGAAGGCCAGAACGACCTCCTTCATGGCGCGCAGGGAATGTTTCGACTCCATGGCAGCCTTCCATTTTTGGATTGTCTTCAAGCCAAGTTCATTGCCCGCGTCTTCCTCGTCGTCGAATGCGCTTTCTTGCGCTTTCTGGGCTTTCTGCTTCTTTCTCGGTGTAGCCTCGTCTTCACTGGCAGACAGAGCGTCAATCTCTGCAAGGTCGGCGTCTTCGGCAAAGTCCAAAAGCTCCGCGTCGTTCTCCTTGAGGTACTTGTAGAACTCGGGGTCCTTCTCCGCCAGTCCTTCGAGCTGCGCCTTGTGTGTGTCTGCATCGTCGCCAGAGTCGCTTTCGGAGCCGGACTCGTCGGTGCCGTCGGGCGCATCTTCCATGTCCTCATCAGAGCCTTCCGACGCATTCTCCTCGACGGGTGTACGTTTGCGCTTGCCGGTCTTGGGCTTGGTCTTCTTCTTGCTCATCTCAGGTATCTGGAATCCGCCTTGGAAGAACTGGTCCATGGACATTTCGCCCAGGTTGTCGTCCTTGGCGCCGTTCGTCTTGGGCTTCTTCGCGGCTTCCTCTTCCAGGTCGTCGGCTTTGGCATTGTCGCGGGCCTTGCGCTCCTTCTTCTTGGTGTCCATCTGCTTCCTCTGCTTGACTTTGGCGACATCCTTGCGGCGCTTGATGACGTCGCCGAGCTTGTCCTTCTGGAACTTCTTGGTCGCCTTGGAGACGGGCATGTCGGCGGTATCTGGCGGTTCCTCGTAGGCGCGAGGGTGTTGTTGGCCGGGCGTGCAGCTGGCGGTTGAAAAACTTGGGCCTCGAAAAAGTTCCAGCGCTAAGGACCCTGCCTGGATCTCTAGCGCCTTCCCCACGCGATGAGCTGCGGCGCATCGATAACACAACTGTGCACCACTCAACTAAGCCCGCGACTCTATACCAAAGCATAACTCATCTCTCATAATTCATAATGTCCTACGGCAGGCAGCTGGCCTACGCGCCGACGCCGTACATTCCGCGCTCTAATCTTTCCGCGACCATCAACCTTGATGAGGTATGACGCGCATCAGTCCCACTCCGCATGCGCATACTCACCGTCTACCCAGGAAGTCAAGCTCTCCACGACCAATGCCGAGCGCGACCTGAACGACTCGCTGGCCGAGATCTACAGCATCATCATCACGCTCGACGCCATAGAAAAGGCCTACCTCAAAGACTCCATCGCCGAAGCCGACTACACCGAGACATGCAACCGCTTGATGAAGCAGTACAAGTCCAATCTGGCCAATGAGACTGTCGCGCGGGCATTCGGTGACCTGGATCAGTTTGCAAAGGAATGGCACGTATGTCATAGCAAGTCTCGAGCTTCTCCAGTACTAGGCTGACACGACTCCAGATGGAATGTCCACGAGCTATCGAACGACTGCGCGTCGGCATACCCGCTACCATCGAACAGGGCCCATCACGGCCAGCTCAGTCAGGCGACTTTGCTGACGCCACGCTGGTCGTCAACGCGACCGAGACCTTCATCACCCTGCTCGACGCTATCAAGATCGGGCTGGTGGAGAAAGACACCCTACACCCTCTCCTTGTCGAGATCATCCAGGCTGTCAACAAGGTCACAGATGTCGAATTCGAGAATAAGGGCAAGATTGTGCAGTGGCTGATCACTCTGAACCAAATGCGGGCCGCCGAGAAACTGAGCGATGAGCAGTCGCGCGAGTTCCAATTCGACATGGACCAAGCATACTACGGCTTTAAGACGACCCTAAAGAAGGCTTGAGACGGGCGAATAGGCAGCGTTGGACTATCAGAATATCTGCTCGTGGTACCTGCATCTTAGCCCCGCGGTGGTTAGCTTGGGCCCACGCTGGACCTGGTGAGTACTGCACCCCACCGACCAGCAATTTTCCCGCGCATTCGTCATAGTCGCTTCAAAATGTCCATGTTAGATGGTATACACCTGCGCCTTGCATCTGCATGTCTTGGTGCTAAATCCATGTCTAGTCCTTGACCTTCCGCAACTCTACACCAAGCCCTCCGCTGAGGCCCTCCTCGAAACCCTCGCGCTCCTTACCACCGCTCCGCCTTCGTGGGAATATACAAGCACAAAGCACAAAGATCATGATGGGGAGGCAGTGATAGAGGCGCGCGAGCCTGCAGTTCAGGTCAATCCAGAGGGCGTCACGCGATACCTCACGACCATTATCAGTAGCGGGCTGCAATGGATAGAAGACGATGAAGTCAAGGAGCGCATATGGGATCAAGCCAGCGCGCGCCTCAGTGAGCGATCCGGTCGATCTGCCATGAGCACCATGTCGCGCACTTTCCAGATTCCCACCTCGTCCGACGCATTCGAGCTTAAGATCCACGAGCCTGCCATGACAGGCGACGATCTGGGCCTGAAGACCTGGGCTGCTTCCTATATGCTTGCGAAGCGCCTCAAAACCTTCCATCTCGTCTCCTCGGACACACAAAATCGGCTACAAGTCCTTGAGCTTGGATCGGGTACGGGCTTGGTTGGACTGGCAATGGCAGGCTTGGGCGCAGACGTTGTTTTG